ACACGCGAACGGCCCTTCCCCCCCGCCGCATCGCGACCCCAAACCAAATCCGCTCTCCCGGGGAGGGGAAAAACAAATCCCGAGCCCCCCCGTACCGTTCGCGACAAAAACTCTCCGGCTTCTTCCCGCCTGCCCGCCGCCACCGCCACATGCAGCAGGGCGAGATGCGAGATAAGCGGGAGCGCTCTTTGCACAACAAAAGGCAACTCGAGCTGGAAAGGTTTGGGGCGAGGGAGGTGGGAAGGACGGGAGAGAAGAAAATTCCCTTTTTCCTCGGGATGAGCTGGGGGAGAAAGGGAAATGCTGCTTGCTTTCTTTTCTTTCTTTCTTTCTTTCTTTCTTTCTTTCTTTCTTTCTTTCTTTCTTTCTTTCTTTCTTTCTTTCTTTCTTTCTTTCTTTCTTTCTTTCTTTCTTTCTTTCTTTCTTTCTTTCTTTCTTTCTTTCTTTCTTTCTTTCTTTCTTTCTTTCTTTCTTTCTTTCTTTCTTTCTTTCTTTCTTTCTTTCTTTCTTTCTTTCTTTCTTTCTTTCTTTCTTTCTTTCTTTCTTTCTTTCTTTCTTTCTTTCTTTCTTTCTTTCTTTCTTTCTTTCTTTCTTTCTTTCTTTCTTTCTTTCTTTCTTTCTTTCTTTCTTTCTTTCTTTCTTTCTTTCTTTCTTTCTTTCTTTCTTTCTTTCTTTCTTTCTTTCTTTCTTTCTTTCTTTCTTTCTTTCTTTCTTTCTTTCTTTCTTTCTTTCTTTCTTTCTTTCTTTCTTTCTTTCTTTCTTTCTTTCTTTCTTTCTTTCTTTCTTTCTTTCTTTCTTTCTTTCTTTCTTTCTTTCTTTCTTTCTTTCTTTCTTTCTTTCTTTCTTTCTTTCTTTCTTTCTTTCTTTCTTTCTTTCTTTCTTTCTTTCTTTCTTTCTTTCTTTCTTTCTTTCTTTCTTTCTTTCTTTCTTTCTTTCTTTCTTTCTTTCTTTCTTTCTTTCTTTCTTTCTTTCTTTCTTTCTTTCTTTCTTTCTTTCTTTCTTTCTTTCTTTCTTTCTTTCTTTCTTTCTTTCTTTCTTTCTTTCTTTCTTTCTTTCTTTCTTTCTTTCTTTCTTTCTTTCTTTCTTTCTTTCTTTCTTTCTTTCTTTCTTTCTTTCTTTCTTTCTTTCTTTCTTTCTTTCTTTCTTTCTTTCTTTCTTTCTTTCTTTCTTTCTTTCTTTCTTTCTTTCTTTCTTTCTTTCTTTCTTTCTTTCTTTCTTTCTTTCTTTCTTTCTTTCTTTCTTTCTTTCTTTCTTTCTTTCTTTCTTTCTTTCTTTCTTTCTTTCTTTCTTTCTTTCTTTCTTTCTTTCTTTCTTTCTTTCTTTCTTTCTTTCTTTCTTTCTTTCTTTCTTTCTTTCTTTCTTTCTTTCTTTCTTTCTTTCTTTCTTTCTTTCTTTCTTTCTTTCTTTCTTTCTTTCTTTCTTTCTTTCTTTCTTTCTTTCTTTCTTTCTTTCTTTCTTTCTTTCTTTCTTTCTTTCTTTCTTTCTTTCTTTCTTTCTTTCTTTCTTTCTTTCTTTCTTTCTTTCTTTCTTTCTTTCTTTCTTTCTTTCTTTCTTTCTTTCTTTCTTTCTTTCTTTCTTTCTTTCTTTCTTTCTTTCTTTCTTTCTTTCTTTCTTTCTTTCTTTCTTTCTTTCTTTCTTTCTTTCTTTCTTTCTTTCTTTCTTTCTTTCTTTCTTTCTTTCTTTCTTTCTTTCTTTCTTTCTTTCTTTCTTTCTTTCTTTCTTTCTTTCTTTCTTTCTTTCTTTCTTTCTTTCTTTCTTTCTTTCTTTCTTTCTTTCTTTCTTTCTTTCTTTCTTTCTTTCTTTCTTTCTTTCTTTCTTTCTTTCTTTCTTTCTTTCTTTCTTTCTTTCTTTCTTTCTTTCTTTCTTTCTTTCTTTCTTTCTTTCTTTCTTTCTTTCTTTCTTTCTTTCTTTCTTTCTTTCTTTCTTTCTTTCTTTCTTTCTTTCTTTCTTTCTTTCTTTCTTTCTTTCTTTCTTTCTTTCTTTCTTTCTTTCTTTCTTTCTTTCTTTCTTTCTTTCTTTCATTTCCCCGCACCGTGCCGTGGCATCTCCATCACCCCCGGTACCTCTTTTCTCCCGACCCTCCAAAAATCCGTCCCGCTTTTGCCCGGAGAGATGGTGTGGTTGTTTTGGTGACGGGGGACGGGGGAGAACGGGAGGGGAGGAGCAGAAGGGAAGCTGAAAAGACGTGTCGGTGGAAGGGCATGAAAAATAGGGATGGATGATTAGGGATCCAAGCAAGGAATTTTGATTGCCCCAGAATTGAAAGAGGCATTCTTCATATAGGTGGCAAGGCCAGGTGAATTGCATTTTGGCGTTTTCTTTGTGAACCTGATATTTTACGTTTTGTTTTAAAAGTAGCAGTAGTAATAAAAACTCCGTATTTTTGCTGGCTCTGCCTCCATCAGGAGCCAAATGTTTTGCAGGAAACGCGGTGCCAGCCGTATTTCATACATTAGTGTATAATTCTTGTTAATTAGCAATAATTTACGTTAAGAGCATAGAAAATGTTGAGGTTACAGGTTTTATATCTGTACATTTGATCATCTTGTTATTTTCAAGAACTTTGCCTCCTATAAAATTAATTAGGTGAAATGTGGAGGTGTAATCAGCAACCTCTGAATTACCACTTCATTTCCTGGTTTTGATTGTAAATCAGCCCAGTCGGTACAGACTTTAGCAAAGTCTTTTTTTGTTTAGTGCTACTTTTAACCGTCTGGTGTCGAAGCAGCGGGTTACTTTCCCCTGCTAAATAATACTGACAGGTCAGAAAGAAATCAGGCTGCGGGAAAACATTATAATTGAGTAATGATTATGCAGAGCTCCTCGCTAAGCCATTTGTAAGGGGAATACGGTTATTTTGTGTCTTTTGCTGTGGAGAGTTGGTGAGCTAGAAGTTGGTTTTGCAAAATACCTTTGTCGGCAGTGTGCAGCGAGCTACTGGTGGAATTAGTCCTGCAATAATTTATTCCCTCGGTCTGAACGCATGGAACTGCTGGAGAGAAAAATGTCATGCCTGGCAATCCTGCAGAAACACCCTGCTCCTGTCCTGGCTTCCCGAGGAGCGTGAAATGCACGTTGTGCATCTTATCTTGTCGGTCTGTAAGTTTAGAAGAAAACCCCAGCGATTAAGACATTGTTTTTATTAACATGAATGTAACACTCATATTCCTGTGGTTGACCTTAAGTTAAATTAGAAGTAGTACTAGAGGCAAGAAATGATGGACTGTGTCCTAGTTGGAGCTGAGGTACGGTGAGGTAGTGTGCTCTTTCAATATTATTTTACACAGCACAACTGGGAGCTACTCCAGATCTTCCTCCTCGATATTCAGCCTAGGTAGGGAATGAAATAAATTTAACCTGAGTTCACTGGATTTTTGCACTTTATCAAAATCAGTTCCAATATCGTGCAGTCAAATTAAAATCTATTTTTTGATTCTCTGTGGCTTTAAGTTCATTAAATGTGAAATTGGCAGCTAGCTAAAGAAGGTCAAGCTGATTAACTGTTTAGGAGGTGTATTCTGTCTCACTTGCGTTACCTGGCAGTGTTTTGAGGTGGGTTGTATTTGCAGTACGCTCTCCTGCTCGCTCCTGTTAGTCCGCGTGTTGTGTTGCTTAGGTAGAGGAATACCAACACGCTGCTGGTATTTTATTTTTTTTTCCCTCGTGAAAGGCAATAGTAATGGAGACTGCACGCACATTGCCAAGGTATTTCTCTGCAAACTTAACCGAAAAAAAAAAAAAAAGGGCAAACAGAAAAGAGAGACGTCTCTGCCTCGTTAGAGCATCCACTGATGATGATTCTGTGAGCAGGAACAGCCTCATAATGAAGCTGTTTGGAGCTCATTCAGAAAATTTGTCAACTTTGGCAACATTAGGCAAGGTATTTTGAGTTTAAAGAAGGCACTTTCTCATTGCTGTGAGGAAATGTGGCAGTCGCTTGGCCACGCTGATTTTTAGATGTTGAGGGCCACCAGTGCTAACATGTTCAAGATAATTTAGGCATTGCTTTATTTCAGGATATAAAAGGAAAAATGACTAATTGCCTTGTTCCCTTAGGTACTAAAAAATATCCCATCAGCCAATATCTCTGGGTGGACATGGTTGTGACTGATATTTATTTGAATCCTGAGGAGTAGCTGAAAAGTGAGAGGTGCCTCCCCCTACCCTGCAGGTGTTTCTGCTGCACTTGCTTTTTATCATTTCGGTTTCTGCCATTTATTTGGTTATTTATTTGTCTCATCCCCTCCCTCCCCCATGAGTAACTGCTGTCTTTTGGATTTCTAAACTGAAAGCTGCAAACAGGCTGATAGGGGTAGTGACACGAGTACGTACATGCCCATACACACGTGTGTTACAAGGGCTGTGTGTACCCCGTGTGTCGGGGTGTGTGCGGCCAGGTGGTCTGGCTCTCCCTGTCTTTTACACACACGTGTGTTACCTGCACGGCCTGTATAGGGAATATGCAGTATCTGTGTGTTGAAACACCTTTTGTCTGCACCCGTGTAGTTCAGGCCTCTGAATTTTAGAAAAGTAGGTCTGGCTGGTAGGAAACACACACCGCTGTGTGTCTGAGGGTGTGTGTGCAGTGCTTTTTAGCCTTGAATTTGTATATATAAATAATACGTCTGGCAAGAAAACACCGTATTCGCTTCTTTTCGTAGTACCACAGGAGTGTTGCAGTGTATTTTTTCAGCCTGTTCGTTGAATTTTACCACCAAATTGCCCAGTCGAGTCAGAAATTTGTCCTCACGTAGGAACACAGAGCCAGCTGCAGTGCTCGCTCTCCGAGTTCTGCATGCTACAGCTGCTTCTGGAAAATCTCCCCTGTAACTGATGAATTCATCTCATTGCTGCGGTGCTGATGGCTTAGCTGGGAGGGAGCAGGAGGATGTTGTGAACAGGGTGTAAGAAACATGTCCCGCTGGCTTTCCCAAGAGCTCTAATGATTCTCCTTTTGTTTCTCAAACTGCAGCCGAACCTCTTGAAGCCATTCTCACTGACGATGAACCTGAACATGGCACATTGGGAGCTCCAGAAGGGGACCACGACCTCCTCACTTGTGGCCAGTGTCAGATGAACTTCCCGTTGGGGGACATTCTTATTTTTATTGAGCACAAACGGAAACAATGCAATGGCAGTCTCTGCTTAGAGAAGGCTGTGGATAAGCCACCTTCACCCTCACCAAGTGAGCTGAAAAAAGCATCCAATCCTGTGGAGGTTGGCATCCAGGTTACGCCAGAGGATGACGATTGTTTATCAACGTCATCTAGAGGAATTTGCCCTAAACAGGAACATATAGCAGGTAAATTAAAGCAAAGGAGAAGTGTTTGCAAGTTTATTTCTGTTTCAGTTGCAACGTAGCATGTTCGCAGTTGTAAACTGCCGTGTCTGTCTTTCTGTTCTGCTCGCTGTGACGGTTGACGTGTTAAATACCCTGCCTTTGGTTAGTGGTGAGCGCACGACCAGTGTTTCCTAGTGTGTGCGCAGAGGCAGGATCAACAGGCACGTGCCGTGCCAGCCGGTGTTTCTAACGGTATTGTTTGAGGCTGCTCTAGTGCTTTGCCTGTATTGTAGTCACTGTTTCCCAGGGGTGCCGTAGCGCTGCAGGAGGAGATTTCAGAGCCTGCCGTGCGATAAAGCGAGGAGCTTTCGAGTCTTCAGCAAAGTCAGGGGTGAAAGAGTTAACCGAGCATCAGCCAGCCTTGGTTCCATACTGGCTGTCAGCGTATGGACTGTAATTAAACACAGCCCCATGGCGAAGTGACACCACCGACCTTGACTTTAAGATGCCATTTTCGACTGGCCAGGCCAGAGTAGAGAGGGCAGTTGCTGAAGCGCACAGACATGCTTATTCGAAAAGTTTAAGGGCATTTGGAAATTTCAAAAGGTTGGTTTGACAGGAAAGGCCGCTCTCTGCAGCCTGCCTCCTCAGCCAAATGATAAATGCTTCGCTGTGCTCTCTCTTGTCTCTGATGTGGTTTTGACAGATGTATCTTGATTTTGTTTGTGGTTTACACAACCACATGTCAGCTGTACAAATGTCCAAGGCAGAGTTCTGTTTTGTACAACAAACAATACGAAATGTAAGGTTTTTTTAAAAAAAGGGTAAATAATTCCGTTTCTTAGTTTTTTTTTTTCTAACCAGAAAGCTGTTTGCCATGCAGGTATTTTCACAAATGAGGTTAAAAAAAGAGAGTGTACTACGTGAAAGAAAATCCCAGAGCCCTGGGAGTGTAACAAGACATGCTCTGCTTTTAAAATCCTGCGAGTAAACAAGAGTAGTACCCATTTGCAGCAAGCGTTGCAAATCACTTCAAACCGTGCCAATACTACTGGTAGAAAAAGGTGAGACCGCAGTATATCAGCACCAACAAACGCCTGAACCGGTTTCAGCCTTCCCCTTCCCAGCGATGTTTGGGATGTGGCACTGCCGCTACCTCTCTTCATGGAGCCCACAGGACCGCTCAGGGTTATCAGAGGTGCAGTGCGTCGTCACACGATGTGCTGGAGCTTGTCTTGGGCTTGCTTTGGCCACGGAGTTAAAACCATAATAGGGCAGTAGGTGCTGGGAGGTTCAGTGTCATACTCCTGCAGCCTCCCCTAGCCTCCAAACCCGCCGGCAAATCATGCTGGAGAGCTGTAGTTTTGAGGCTTTTGCGGTGGCAGCAAATATGTATCGGTGCGCATGTGTCTGTGCACATGTATATATGCAAAATGATGTGTGTACACATGCATATGTAATGTAAATGGATATATACTATTTCTGCAGAGTAATGGGTGTTACTTTGAATACATGTGTATATTTATGTTTAAGAGGAAACAGAGGCTCAGCTACTGCTAAGCTACATTTTGAAAGAGACTTTAAAAACCCAGTAATTCCCCATACTGCACTTCCCAGCCACCGATGTTAAAGGTGTGGTTTTTTTTCCCAGAGTGGTAGAGGGCAGTGCCCATTTCCATGGGCTGGCTGCGATCTGATGGAAAACGAGCAGAAGTGTAGGGCATGATTAATGAAGTGGGAGCCTGGTGGAAGGGATTTGTAGTCTTCCGAGCTCTGGAGCCATACTAAATCACCAAATATGGAGGAGTGGCGGTATGATGTAACGCTGTATTTACGTACGGCGCCGCTCTGTTGAAAAGACAGAACACAGTATCTGTCAAGCAAGAATTAAACCCAATCTGCTTGCTGTGGTTCCAAATAGATCCCTCAGCCAGGGGGATGGTCACGCCGGGGAGTTCTGCATGAGGTAAACCGCTCAGCTGAGGGTTTTGCTCTGGCATTCATTTGGCGTGGGAGACTCGTCGAGCTTTCACGTGGTGCGAGTGATGTGAAGCGAACAGGATTTGGCCTCGTGCGATGTCACGGGGCTGTTAATTCAGAAAAGGCTGTGGTTTTAACTGACTTTAAATGGTTCGGTGAGCGAAGGGCAATGGGTGAGAAGAGGTGCACATTGGTAGGGGACCTGATCCTGCTTGGTTTTACACATAGGGATTGCCTTTGCTGTGTAGGTGGGCCAGACTGGGAGCGGGCACGGGTCTGTGGTGGAAGCCACAAGCACTGTTGTGACTAGAGACCGACCTGCAGTTGTCTGGGCGTCTCCCACCCTGAGTCTTCTGCGTGGTGGTGCCCAGCCATGCCCTCAGACAGGAGGTCCAAGACTGCGGGTCTTTTCCTGCGCATCCCTGGCTGGGATGGAGCCAGTGGTGCTAGTGTCCCCTGGTTGTTCCCAGTGGTGGGAAATGCATCTGGGCTGCAAGAGAGTGGGAAGGAGCTCCAGGAGTTAAGGGGTCTTGTGCTGTCCCTCCCCTTTGTGTTTTCATCTGCCTTTTCACTTGAATGCGTTTAGCTCCCTTGTATCTTGGAGAAGGGTGGCAATAGCTGGTGACCCATTGCTTGTAGCCAGGAGTTTGTGGGGTCTGGCAGTAAAATTACCAGCGGGGGTCTTGGAGTGAGCTGTGGAGTTCAGGTATCTGGAAGGCCCCTGCAGTGAACTTCAGGCTTTTCCAGTTCTGGTATTTTGTACCCGATTTCTGTGCAAGAATGCAAAATACAAAAAGATACGAGTGTGTAATTTAAAAAAAAAAAAAAAGGACAGAGACTGCCTTTAGAAAAATATACAGGAGTTGAGGGAACTGATTCTTGCTGGTAAGAGACCGGAAAATATGTATTTAGTAGCAATGTAAAAATATGCCCAGTTAGTTGTTAGGCTGAAAGAGGTGTTACAGGTTAGCTCTGGATACAGAGGTGCTGTAAGTTGGCTCTGGCTGCAGTATGTCCTCTGGCTGCAGTTCTGTAGTCAGTAAGTTGCTGTGTTGCAGTAAAAGATCACCTTAAGATAAGTAATGGTTAAGGATCGGCTCATCTAAAGACAGCAAGTCATTCAAATGCAGGGAGAAATTATGTCTATTTTAACCATCAGCAGGCCGCTCTTTATCCTCACCGTTTTCCAGAGGCAGAGATGATTAGCTTGTATGTATGTGTGCATCCTGTGCGGTAGCTGTGAGATCCATATAGGTGCAGGCAAGCGTACCTTCTCTTCCACGTAGGTGTCTGCCTGCGCGGAGCTTTGACTTGCTATAAAATTTTGAGTGATAATGATCCAGCACTATAGCTGAAATGTCATAAATTTAACTGAAAATTAATAGGATACGTTGTGTGGGTCCATGAGGCAGCTTTCATCAATATGTATGTCAAAGCCTCACCACCGGATACCGGCAGTCCGTGATTTGCAGTGAGTGCTACGGCAAGGCTTTAGTTATCCGCTCTCGTATTTTACAATAGGGGGAAATATTAACTGAAGTATCTAGAGATCAGTGAATGTAAAATTGCTGTTCACTTATTGAAAAGGCTGAAGAAATATTTATTGTCCACTGGTGTCAGTTTTAGTGGTTTGTTTGTTGAATGTATAAATCCAAGGGAATTAATGAAAGGTGGTTTTTTGGGTGAGGAAGGATCTTAAACGCTACTTGGATTCAGTTGGAGGAACACTTTGGAGTGCTGCTGCATATTCCCCTTTATAATGCCAAGTGTGTAGCTGCGAATGCCGTATTTACTGTACAAAGAAATGAAGGGAGAAGGGGAGGAGGTAATTTTTACCGCTTGACTCCTTTATTCTCAAGCTGCTTGTGGCATTCAAATAAAATACGTGGGAAAATAACGTAAGAAAACCCTCTGTCTGCAGTAACTGGGGGAAGGTGGATGTAATTTGGCACTAAATTTTGGACCAAGTACATTTGATTATTACAGTTCTCAGGAGGTAATGTCTTTCAGTAGTCATTGCACCACAGAAATTTTCTTGGGCTGTTATTAGTAGTTGCCATTGTAACTCTGTAGGTTGTAAATTGTGATTCATTGTTTTATTTTGTTCTGGAGACAATAAATTATTGATGTCTGCATTTAATAGTTAGCATTGCATCCGGACAATAAGATGAAACCTTAAAAAAGGGGGGGGCAGGAATGTGGAAATATTTTGGAGTAAAATTCTGTCTTCTTTCCCCTTACAAAAAACCAGAGAGTATAGGCTGCGTAAAACAGTTGCAGGCAGGAAAAATAGTGAGGATGATACCCAAAGGCTCCCGCTTCTGAGATTCGGAGCCCTGCATGCAAGGTGTATTTGTAAATAAGACAGAGAAAGGTTGTGAACTGGCAGCCTGGCTGTTTTGTCGAAGTGCAATGTCAGAGAAACTCTTTCTAAGACAAATTGTAAATAGAAGTGTCACGATGGTTGCATGATTGAGCTCCAGAAGTGTCTTGCAATTGTTGGCATTGTCAGAAGACTTTTGAAAGCTTAATTGAAGGCGGTGGCCTGTGTGGCTGTGAAATTTGCTTCTTGGGGGGACGAAATGTAAAAAATGTGGGGGATCAAAAAGTTGCCCTAATGCTACTCACGCGGGGATACGGGGAAGAGTCAATAGTTTCTCAGCTTTCCCTGTTGCCTTTTATAAATAACATTTTTTGAAGAAGCAAACACGTGACGCCAATATCATCCTTTGTATGAGGCAAAGATTGTGTTAGTTTTCCTATTCCCTGCTGTTACAGGCAGTTAATGAAAAAATGGCCCTTTATTGGAAACACAAATACGAGTTCACTCAAAGCACAGAAGCAGGGTAGAAAGTTTTCTTCTGCCTCTACATGATCCTTCCAGGGGAGCATCAGAGTGTTGCAGTGCCCTGAATATTTGTTTTCTTCTTTCCTGCAAATCACATCTTCTGGTTTAGAGGACGAGGAATATGCTTTGCATTCTTTCTCCTATTGTGTGGGACATTTAATTGTGGAGCTCACCATGGGCTGAAGCATCGCTG